AGTGATAGTTGAATATAATATAAGTTAAGACATTTTTTTAGATTAAGAATAACATGGATAGATGTGTTTTCTCCTTTTATAAGTGATAGGTAAACCTGATTGAGTGTGTTGTAGCTATGAGAAGGCATAAAAGGTTGCTGAAAATGTTCCATAAACAACAACAGGGTTATGCATGAAGGGCTAAAGGGGAGGAGTGATATTGTTAGCTAGTTTCTGGTTTTGTTAAAAAGTATGATTAGTGGCTTGTTCAATATTGTGATTGTTCAGGCTTCTAATTTTGTACATGGGACGGAGTACTTTTGTGTTTCATATAATAAATTATATTTATTTTGCTGATTAAAAAAAAAAAAAAATCTAAGCACCCTGTCATTGACAACTGAAAAAAGTGCTGAGGCCAACCCGTCTGGTTAAGTACGTTCGTTGGTGGACGGTACGGGTACGAGTATACGCCCCACGTGTGACAATAAGTGATACATATTATAATTTGTCCAATTTGGGCTGGACTTATGCTTTCCTCATGGGCCAGCCAAACCCTTGGGCCTTAGCCACTATGAGCTATATTTTTTCTTTTTCTTTTTTCTTTTTTGAGCAAAGGAAAATTGAGATGGGGAAATGTCGTTACAAAGACGTGGGTTATTAATTACTATGTGATCTTATACAGGGAATAAATAACTCATTGTCCTAGGAGGGGCCGGATGCGTACCCCCTATTATTGTACCTGTACATCAAAATAAATCATATATACACATGAATTAACGCCCAGGATTCCGATATGTCCACGGCATTGCTTGTAACGTACACAAAGCAATCGACAACATGCTGGGGAGGAATGACGTCCACGGTAGTGACCATCACCCGGGAACTATTGATGGAGTTGTCAGTGCAGGTTTTCATTGATCCAAAATCTCCACATTGTTGAGGTTCTTCATTAGCTCCTGAGCCTTAGAATATTTGTCACCCGATGCCTCCGAGATCAACCGGATCGACTTGATCAGCCTTTCCATGCTGTTGACCATCTCCTCGACGCATTCCTTGAGTACACTAAGGATGTCAACGAGATCCCATGAGGTTGGAGAATCTCTCCCCATTCATTCGTGGGGATGGAGATTCTTACAGGGATTTTTAACGAATGGTAGATTGGTGCATATCACCGCTGCCAATCCTGCATCAAGGCTTCATGGAGTGCATAGTACGTATCAGCAGATTGGCTAGAGACGTACGGGAAAATACATAAGACAGAGAAGCAAGAAAAGAATAATTTTGGTTCCACCCATGTATTTAGATTTGTTTTTGCTTGAGACCTGAGGATCAGGAGTTGATGAAATGAAATTAATTAGAGCTTTGTGAATATATAGATGATGAGGATCATCAAGGAGATTGACTCAAGTATACAACTGAAAGTGATCGTCAAGTGATAATTAATTAATTGAGCATTTGCATTCAAGTAATGTTCTACTTAATAGTACTCTAGACGAGTAACAGCCTGACAGCTAATTATTTTGAATGTGTTTATATATGTGCATGACTTCTAGTTTACTCCTGGTTCTGATTTAGACATCCTTATTGCTAAGCTCACGTCTAGAGTCAACTTGCCCGTGACGAATTTAATAATTAATATGGCTGAAACAGAGAATGTGGATCCAATTACAAAGAGTAATTTTTCTTTATATTTAAGTAATTAACTGGTTTTTTTATTTTTATTATTATTATTTTAATTTGAGATTTCCCCCATTCAGCTCAGAACTTAGACATTGATACCTAGGGAAAGTACAGGGACCAATTTGCTTTGAAAGTATGTATAATGATAGTTTTTACCCATTATTCATTATTCTTTATTCAAAGAGAATAGAGATGTAGCTTTGTTGATAAAAAAATAAAAAAATGGAGCTTTATCCCGCCCGGGGACAATGTTATGATTACTAACAAAAATATTAAAATTATTAAAATTATAAAATATTGTCTTTAAAAATATTAATTTTGTTTAATTTAATTAATAAAAATAATTAATGTTTATTATAATAATTAATAAATTAAAATTAATCAATAAATTTATATTTTAAAACATTATTTTAAAAAATTAAAATTTTAATAATCTTAATATTTTTATGATGACATTAACTATACCCACCATATCTCCTAATAGAGGCAAGCTCGATTAAAATCTTTTTTTATAGCGCTGTTATCGGCCTTTTGAATTTAGTGACATTTTATTTGATGTATATATAAAATATAAATTAGAAAAATAATTTTAATATAACTTTTAAAAAAATCTTATACATTGTGAAAGACTAAAAGTAATACTTGTTTAGATTTTTTCGTTTGAAATCTGAAAATATATAAATAAAATTTATATAAAAAATATTAATTATGATAATGTGCTTTAATGTAATATCAAAGTGAGAACTTTTTCTTTTTGTTTTTTTTTTTAGTCAAACATGAAAATGAGATTTTATTTTTTTAAATAAATTTACAAAAACTCAAATTAATTATGATAATGTGCTTTAATGTAATATCAAA